TTGCAAAATTTGCAAGTGTCAGACAAAACTATGGTGAGGTGGCCATTTGCAATTCCTTTTGAAAAGGTTTTGCAAGCCCTATGTGGATGGTCTTACATATACAATTGTGGCTCTCGTGTAATATTATGTTTAAAACTTTGAAATTTACGTATATAAAAATATCCAATATATATATATATATATATAATTTTGACATAAGAATATATATTTAGAGTAAATTATATAGTTTCGTGGTTTGTTGAAATTTTTTATTTTTGTTCTTATGATTTTTAAATTACAGTTTTCATCCCTATGGTTTATATGTAATTCATTACCTTTTTTGTCCTTATGATTTAAAGTTTATTACTTTTTTTTTATCTTTATGGTTTACAATTCATTTCTATTTTTAGTTCTTTATACTTAAAAGTGATGTTTTGACCTTAGGAAAGAACATAGAAATGAAATGCAAAACATAGGGATAAAAACGAAATTTTGAAACCACGTGAACGAAATCTACATTTTTTAACAAACAACAGGTAAAAAATGTAATTTACTCGTATATTTATGGGTATTTGGATGTGTTACGAATCTACCTATAAAGTAGTAATATTCATATGGTGTTTGATAATTTTAATGTACTCATTTTCTAAGTTTTAAATATTACAACAAAATTAGTTTTATAGGATATGTTTATGGACCAAATGGTAAAATATCATATCTAAAAATGGTGTAATAAGTTTATATGATGTTTTTAAACGTTTTAACAAGTTTTCTAAGATATTTTTATAATAAAATATCGTATTAGTTATTTTTTAAGATTTTAATTGAAAATTTGTTTTATAATAACAAATGTCCAATAAACAGAATATGCTTATAGGACACTTTTCATAAAAGTGTTTTATAAAATAGTTAATACGACGTTTATTTTGAAAAACGTTCTAGAAACTTGTTAAGACGTCTAAAATAATACTATAAATTTATTACAACATTTTTTAGATACAACACTTTATTATTTGGTCTTATAAACTTAGTCTTATAAAATAATGTATTAGGACATTCAAGGGTCGTTTACCCAAATGCTTACTCGGTAAGCGCTTATTGGTAGGAGTCAACACTATAATCTATTTTACTATGTAAGATTGTAGTATATTAAAACGGTATTATATGTAACAATCTACCCGGTAAACGCTTACCGGGGTAAGAGTCATCGCCATCGCTTATGGTGTAAAACTTTCTATCCTTATCAAGACTCTTATCAGGTAAGATTTTCGACCCTTACCATGTTCATCGGGTAGGGAAATTTACCCGATAAGCACTTACCGAATAAGTGTTTAGTAAACGACCCCTTAGACAATATTCGTGTCCTATAAACCAAATTTGCTCGTAGTGAAAATTTAATTGACTCTGAAAGTTGTATTATGTATGGGCAGTGGACAACCAGAGGTGAAACCTAAAAAATTCACAATATTAATACACATTGGTTGGTTGGTTCCTTGTCGTTCTATAAAAGGAACTCATGTTCGAGTTTAGACTACAACTTTTTTTCCAAAAACACATAAATAACATCAATAATTAAACTAAAAACTAAAAAATTTGACATCGGTGGGACTCAAACTCGGGGTTTTCATACAAAGTGAGCAACATTTACAGACTCTGCCATTAGATACTTATGCCAAAACTTCAATTTCAAATAATATATGGTGACATCCAACAATACAATATAAACTACAGTGACATTCTTCGGAATGTAATTTTCCTCTTTACGACAGAACCATGAAGCCGTGACTCATACCATTAT